AGCAACAACCGCCAAGCAAAGATCTATTTTACTTACGCAGCTGCACACCTCTAAAAAACAAAGATATCCCCCCCCAAAACATGCCGAACACCCTGCCTAATCACACTACGTCCCCCTCAGCCACTTCCACCCAAAAAGGGGCGTCAGAGGACAACAAAGCGTGGTGAGAAGCTGTGCCCGCTGGGCCCAGTGGCTCCCACCCCCTCCGTGGGGGCTTTCCTTGAAAGAGAGCCAAAATCAGGGCTCTCGGGTCACCCCTCGGTGGGGGGACACCGAACGGGGGCGGCCAGGAGGAGCACGCAGGGATTGCAGGCTCTTCCAGCTCTGTGCAAACCATGAAGCTGGGGTGCTGCATTGCCTGGATTTGGCTTGGGAAAAGCCGGACACAGGTTGTGGGGATCCAAACGGGGTTTGGGAGACGCTCTGGGAAAGCCTGAGCATCTCCCTGTCGTCCCCGCTAAGGCGACCGGGGTGAGGGTGGCCACCGGCGAGCATCCACGCAGCGCTCGCCTTGCTGCAACCCCGTAGCGGAGGAGGGAGAACATGTAATTCCCGGGTTTGTCACGCAGACAGAGGAAAAGTTAAGGTGAAAGGTGTGAAGGGCAGAGGGGGTGGGAGCAGGTCTGGAGGGACGGCAGCGGGTCGGAGACCGCTGGGGATCCCGTGGGACCGGCACAGGGCTGGGACACCCCGACCTGGCCGGGGCTGCCCACAGGGTCGGTCTCCATCACGCTCTCCCTCTCCTGTGTCCTGTGGCAAAGTCCGATGGAGTTTGTCCGAGAGCAGGTGGAAAAGTGATTTCGTTTATCTGTCCTCCGTGCTGTTGTGGTTTGCTTTCCTTGTGTGGTTGCATGTGCAGTCTGAATAATTTACCGCAAAGAAAGCAGCTGTTATTTCTGTGTCAGCGCCCCTTGCGTTATTTTTCTCGTTAAAATCCTTCTCTGTCTTTTTTCGTTGATACAGCGCGCTGCTCGATTTCAGTTGGGATTCGTGTTTTCATTCTTTTTTGTTTTTGTTTTTCTTTTTTCTTTCCTTTCCTTTGCGTTTCTTCTGCTTTGTGTTATCAGAAGATGATGCTTTTATTGACAAACTGCCCGCATTTGAAAGGCGCTGTGAAACGCCTGCAGGTACTGTACTAGCAGGGCGTTTTCGAGACATCTGGCTTGGGAACGGGCGGCTGCGGGCGCCCCGTGTGCCCGAGCCCCGGCACCCACCGCTCGCAGCACCTTGCATGACAGTTTCTCAGTGGCGAAAAGGACGGCGAGGTGAAAGGCTATCACCTCCTGAATCCAAAAGGGATAATTTAACAGCACAAAACCCCTTTTTTTTCCCCCACCTTACCCCTAGTTATCTCGACAGCACCCGGTGTCTAACGTGGCTTTCGAGGCGGTGTGAGTGCAGGGAGCTGGCGGTTGAAATGGGAAAGGAAAAATTCCAGTTAGGCGTCTCCTGCTCTGTGTGCGTGTGTCTGTTCATCTGCAAGTTTTATGTCCCGAAATGCAACAGAAAATACCTGCCGGTTCACTGTCACTTATTTTGCCCGCCGGCGCGGCATGCGGTCGCAGCATCCCGCCGGGAAAACGCTCGCTGCTGCCGGCGTGGCACGGCGGAGGCGTCGCCGGAGGTGAAGAGGATAAGGCACGTTTGCCCAAATCAGCGCAGTTAGAATACGCTGACGGAGCGCATGACCCGAGAAACCTCTTCTACTCTAGACAAAAAAAAAAAAAAAGATAAAAAAAGAAAAAAAAAGACCCCACCCCCCCACCCCCGACTCTTACCAAGCGAGCAAAAGTACTCTTCCATCTGGGCTTCCATAGCTTTGCTTTCTGCTTTCTGTTTCCTAAGCCAAAACCAGAGTTTAAAAGCTTCCCCTCTCCTTGCACGTGACCGGCTTGCAGCGCCTCGTCCCCTCCCCGTAGCGAGATAAATGACCTGCTCTGTGACTCACACTGTGTCCTTCTCTCTCCCTCTCCTTAACCTTTCCCATCCCGCTTCAACTCCCGGCCATACAGAGAATGAACAGCCTTCCCTCGTTTGGTTTGACAGAGGAAAGTTTTATTTGACTTTCGAAGGTAAGTAGTGCATAGCATACCCGGTAACGACTTGCTCCCCTTGCTCTTGCTCTCTGACTCCCCGGGTTCCCTTCAAAGGCTCCAGTCCGGCTTTCCGTGCGAAATGCTATGGCTACTTAGATGACATCGCAAGTTCGACCGGAATAATTTTGATTTGATTCGTGCCATTTGTCCCCACCATCCGTTTCCCTGTTTATTTATTAAAAAACAAACAAACAACAACCAAACAAGCAACCAACAACAACAAAACCAACCACAAACAGACCAAAACTTAAAAAAATATTCTCGTACTGAGACTGCGGTGAAAACCAGAGAGCGAAACCGCTTGCACTGCCGAGGAACTTGACTCTGTCAACCAGGGCTTCTTTCTGCTCTCCCTTGCGAGCTGCGCGTCACCCTCAGCGGGCTGTGGCACCGTGCGGTTAATTAAAACCCAAAGGGTGACGGGGTTCTCTGCCAAGCCGGGGCCCCTTTCCCAGCTAAAAAAATCAGATTTTTCCACCGGTGCTGCCATAAAGCGCAGCCGAAATGCCACCGGGTTGTGCTGGTCGGAGGCGTTGACGGGTTTTGGGGTCCCTCGTTGACGAGAAGGCGCATTGGGGAAGGATGCAGGGGGAGAGGAGCTGGTTTTGGGGAGGGTGGCAGCTTCTCTGAGCGGCAGCGCATCTCGGAGAGGGCAGAGACACGGGTGCCTGGGTGCTGTGAGCCCTGAGGCTTTGGACAAAGCCTTATCTCACAGAGACTGTGCCTGTATTTTTCTTATTAAAAAGGAAAAGGAAAGGGAAAAGGAAGGGAAAAGGAAAGGGAAAAGAAAAGGAAAAAAGAAAAAGGGGAAAAGGAAAAGGAAAAGGAAAAGGAAAAGGAAAAGGAAAAGGAAAAGGAAAAGGAAAAGGAAAAGGAAAAGGAAAAGGAAAAGGAAAAGGAA